CTGCCAGTTGGTGGCGCTATAACTTTGACTCACTATCGTCACATCCATGTGATCGGCCTCTTACAACGAACACACTGCTGAAGTTTGATCAAGATCCGTTAATGTATGCAGAAGTTATAACATACTTCCTGTTTCCATTATTCGCCATAAATTCGTTTCCTCGCCAAGGCCAAACCGTTTGAGATATCAAAAATCCCCTGGCAAATTTTTCATCCTCAATGTCTTGACTTCATGCACACCGAGTTTGGAGACGAACGGCGGAATCCCCTAGGAGAAGTGTTTTAAATTCCTGAGCATGCGTTTCCAAACAACCCTAAATAGCCGACTTCCTGTTGGGCTGGGGTAAAAAGTAAGAGCATGAAGGATATATGAACCGATGAGATCTATATGTGTACCGAGTTTCATATTATTACATGAAAACGTGTTTGATTTATGGACCAAGTTTTCGGAGCCCGTTCCAGGGGGCGCTGTCGAGCCCCCCTGCCACGCCCGGGTACCAGCTTCAGCCCGGCTCTGATGGCCGCGGGTTCTGACATGTGTGCAAAGTTTCAAGAGTTTTTGAGCACGTTAAGGCCCCCAAAAATAGTCGTAAAAATAATAATAATAATAATAATCCTAAGGAAAACAATAGGGCCTTCGCCTTTTCAAGGCTTGGGCCCTAACTACAAGTGTTTAAATATTATACTACTTTCTATCTGAAGGTGTCTAAAATTTGTATCCCGTTGTCCCTGGGAGACAGTGTGAAAGAACTTGAAAAAAAATGTATCCATTGCAGAGATTCTAAGAGTCAATGGTTTATGTTTAACTAAGATATTTTTTGTGCATTATGCATAGTATGAGAATGAGGTTGGGTGACCAATTTAAATATAACTTGTGATTTGAAAAAGCACATAGCAGACATCATATAGTCATTTTATTTTGGTTTCTTGAAGAAAAAGAAAGAAGAAAAGACTAAAGAAATTCTGAAGAGTAGTTTTCTTGCTTTTTTCCTGCGTCTTTGCAACGAAGAAAGGCTTGCTTTTTCCCGCAATTAAGTACACTTTTAATAAAATGAGGAACTGCTGTGTTGATAACCAGATTAGATTTTTAGTTATAATTCTGTAGGTTTAATTTGAGTTTTGCGGTTCTCTTGAGTGTTCAAAATTTCAGACACCAGCCTTGAAAAATGGATGACTGTGGAGAGAGAAAGAGGAAGCGATGCCTTCAGCTCCCCAGCTCCTGAAAGAGGAAGTGGACCCTTCTGAGGGGTCAACTCAAGACAGTTCACTTGTGGTGCCTTCAGCTCCCCAGCTCCTGAAAGAGGAAGTGGACCCTTCTGAGCGGTCAACTCAAGACAGTTCACTTGTGGTGCCTTCAGCTCCCCAGCTCCTGAAAGAGGAAGTGGACCCTTCTGAGGGGTCAACTCAAGACAGTTCACTTGTGGTGCCTTCAGCTTCCCAGCTCCTGAAAGAGGAAGTGGACCCTTCTGAGGGGTCCAACTCAAGACAGTTCACTTGTGGTGCCTTCAGCTCCCCAGCTCCTGAAAGAGGAAGTGGACCCTTCTGAGGGGTCAACTCAAGACAGTTCACTTGTGGTGCCTTCAGCTCCCCAGCTCCTGAAAGAGGAAGTGGACCCTTCTGAGGGGTCAACTCAAGACAGTTCACTTGTGGTGCCTTCAGCTCCCCAGCTCCTGAAAGAGGAAGTGGACCCTTCTGAGGGGTCAACTCAAGACAGTTCACTTGAGGTGACAATTCACTGAAGACTTTTCCTAAAGACAATTTTGCCATACATTATGGAATTTTGTGCCAGGGTGGATCAAAAGCCAGACCGAGAGTGCCATCACAGCCTGATGATCAAACGTATCAGCCCAACAAGTCAACTGAACGACAATCCGCACAGAAAAGAAAGACCTCCATCCCCTCACTTGTGGGCCAGGTGCTGAATTTTCAATGATCACTACAGAGAACGTTTCAAATTTAGTTAATTATCATATTAACTTGATTATTGTTTTTGTTTATCCACTGGTTTCAGCAATTCTTCATATTTCTTCAACTAACACTTTGAATCTGCTTTCAATAGGACTAGTCCAGCAGCCCTACTACAGGAAGTTCAATAGCAGAAGTTGGAGATTGACTCACCAATCAGTTAAAACACTGGGGCTGGATTTGGCATAGTGAGGGTTATTACACTAACCAACTAGTGGTAAAAGTATGAATAGATTATTGACTATGCAGAATTCTCTGGAAAAGGAAATATAGAGCATAAGGTGTCTAAAAAGACATGGCTGGAAAAGCAACAATATTGGTCACTCCATTTCATTTAAAGGTAATTCTCTAGATTCAATAAGAATAATGAATCTCAAAATTTTTAACTTTTGAAATCACATGCTGTCATCACCAGGGGTACGAAATGGAAATGTTTTATTTTTGTCCAAAGATCTTTTAAAAGATGGAAAGATAGGGGGATGGCCTGATTTTCAGATCTTTTTATTGATAATTATTTTGCTTCATTCACCAATCTTATGTCCAAATTTAACCTGCATACTACAGGCTTATTCAGGTATTTTCAACTCCGCAGTTTTGTTAAGACGAACTTCCCTAGTTTCCCTCAATTACCAGAAAAATCTCTGGTTGAGAACTTATTGTCAGCCCCTACAGGTGGTAGTCGTATATACTCTGTCTACACCATGTTACTGCCTAAAGATGACTTGGGAAAATGAGCTGTGAATCAAGTTATCGGAAGAGCTATGGTCTGAGGCCCTTGCTAGAGTTAATTCTACTTCTGTATGTGCTCGGCTGAGTCTTATTCAGCTAAAAGTCTTTCATCGAATTCATCTTACCAAAGCTAAACTTCATAAATTGTTTCCAGAAAGGGGACTACTGTAACAGATGCTCCTTTTCTCCCGCCGATCACACCCATACATTTTTTAGCTGCCCAAAACTGGCCTCATATTGGGCTTCTTTTTTTTTACTTCATGTCTAGAGCTCTGCACGTTTCTCTATCTCCATTCTCTATCACAACACAGTCCTTAAGTGTCACTAGTCCCTCCCTGTGAAGCCCTCCTTCCCTTCCCTTTACCTCTGCACAGATAATCATTGTCGGGATAATTCCGGTTCACGTGGCTACGTTGAAGCGATAAAATTCTGTATAAAATTTTTTAAGGCCAGACAATATAGTTTGTTGAGAGTTGTTTTTTTAGGGAAGGACTACATGCCTGCGCACATATATTCAAACGCGCATACCTATAGAATGAACTCTTAATGCGCATGTGCACGCCATCAGCGTTCTCACAGGTTCGCGTTTTTAAAGTTTGCATAGAAAGAACTTAAGAGTTTTCTGTTAAAATGGTGTCGTGTTAGCGGCCGCTAAGCTAATAACTAATGATCGTTGCGACGGAAGTGAATCAATCAAAACTAACTTTAACTGGAAAATAACTTTATTCTAGAGCTGCCATGAAGCCAAAACAATCTGTTACTTTAATTTCCTATTATCACTGTAAAGACGCTTTGGAACAATCTACATTGTTAAAAGCGCTATATATAAATGAAGATGACTTGACTTGACTCCTGTCCACCGTCGAAAGTGTCTACAATGGGGCACTCGAGCGTCGAAACTGGATTTTGGAGCAGTGGAAGAAGGTCGGGTGGTCCACTGAGTCCCGATTTCTTTTACATCACCTGGAGGCTGTGCACGTGTGCGCCATTTACCTGGGGAAGGGATGGCACCAGGATGCACTGTGGGACGACGACAAGCCGGTGGAGGGAGTGTGATTCTCTGGGCAATGTTCTGCTGGGAAACCCTGGGTTTGGCCACTCATGTGGACATTAATTTGATATGTGCCACCTACCTTAACACTGTTGCAGACTAGGTCCACTCCTTCATGACAGTGGAGTTCCCTGGTGGAAGTGGCCTCTTTTGGCAGAATAATGCTCTCTGCCACACAACACACATTGTTCAGGAATAGTTTGAGGAACATGATGAAAAGCACAAGGTGTTGCCCTGGCCTCCAAATTCCTCAGATCTTAATCCAATTGAGCATGAGTGGGATGTTCTGGACCAACAAGTCCGATCCATGGCAGCTCCACCTAGCATCCTACAGGACTTGAATGATCTGCTGCTAATGTCTCGGTGCCAGATACCAAAGGACTCACCTTCAGGGAGTTCATGCCTCCGCAGCATGCAGAGGACTGACAGCAGATTAGGGAGGTGGTCATAATGTTTTTGCTCATCTGTATACAGTAGTATTATAAAAATGTTGCAGACATACTTCTGGTTGTATGAGAGACATGGGTGTGATTTATCTCACTATAAGTGCTGAGTAGAAAAACATTAGCAAAGGAGTGCAAAAAAATTTGCTTGCATGGTTAATTATGTATAGAGTTCTGTGGTGTACCTGGAGTATTTCATGTGAAGTTTGGAAAACAAGGCACTGACATGCAATTTTTACACTGCATATGGAAATAACAACATGCACATTATGAGAAACAAGTTGTGCAGAGTAAAGAGAGAAATAAAAAAGACATGAACATGAGCAAGTACAAATTGTCTTGCTATATTGTTACCTTAAAAATGAATATTTAAAAATGTACTCTTAAAATAATAATAATACAATTTATATATAATTATTTGTTTAATTTGTATTATTAATAATAATGATAATAAAACATAAATATATGAATAAGTAGTAACAAGAAATGTTTCTTGAGCATCAAATCAGCAGATCAGAATGATTTCTGAAGGATCATGTGACACTAAAGACTAGAGTAATGATGCTGAAAATTCTGCTTTGATCACAGGAATAAATAATCAGTTATTTTAATTTGAAATAATATTTTGGAATATTATACATGAAATAAGTCTTGGTGAGCGTAAGAGACTTCTTACAAAAATGTTAATGTTTCCAAACAGGTACTGTACACACACACACACACACATACACAGTTTAAATGGAGAAAATCTGGAAATGTCCCTCATGACAGGAGACTTTACATTTGTAAATCTGTTTAAGGATTGATAAGTACCGTGCTTTGTTCACTTTCATAACGGGAGAGTAGAATGTTGGTTATATTAACAGCATTTGTGATGTTGTGGGCTGTTAGCCGTTCCGGTATGGATGTGAGGATCTGGGTACTGGAGGCTAATAAGAGGACATCGGCTTGAGTAGCTCCAGAAAGCTTAATTAATAAAAAAAAAATATATGCAATCTTTTCTGTTTTTATCTGAGGAAATTCATGTAAGTTTTATATGACTATGTAATTATTAGACATTGATTACTTACATCATTGTTAATGGTATCCAGGGTCAAACCACAATGTAGAGTGTTTGGAGGATCAAATAAGTGAGTAGATATACTACAGAGAGCTGAAGCTTTGGGGATTCCGGCTGAAAAACATTCATGTTAAATGAAGAGATATTTAAAGTAGAAAGTATATTGTAAATACAGAAAGATAGACTGAAATACCATTTGGTGTATGTGATGGACATCGCTCAACTGAGGAAGCAAACTGGCCTAAGACCGTTTTTGGAAAGGTGAATTTACTAGTTTGTGTGGGGTTTTGTTCAGGGCAGAAATTTGCTGTAAAAAAAGAGAAGACTGTCAGTAACCTTGACAACTTAATCAAGATTATGCAGTGTACATATCATGCAATATTTTCAATGGGTTTTACAGATGTTGCAGGTAGTTCCAGTCCAATCGTCTGGGCAGAGGCAGATCCCGTTTTGTAAGGTACCCTTGTTTTCACACACCAGATTGGGTTCGATCATTGTTGTGTTCGGGGCAGCTGTAGTGGTGGATCTCTGGGTTCCAGTCTGGAGTGTTGAGGAGCTGAGTGTTGAGGAGCGTAATGTTGAGGAGCTGAGTGTTGAGGAGTCGAGTGTTGAGGAGCTGAGTGTTGAGGAGCTGAGTGTTGAGGAGTCGAGTGTTGAGGAACTGAGTGTTGAGGAGCTGAGTGTTGAGGGGTCGAGTGTTGAGGAGCTGAGTGTTGAGGAGCTGAGTGTTGAGGAGTCGAGTGTTGAGGAGCTGAGTGTTGAGGAGCTGAGTGTTGAGGAGTCGAGTGTTGAGGAGCTGAGTGTTGAGGAGCTGAGTGTTGAGGAGCTGAGTGTTGAGGGGTCGAGTGTTGAGGAACTGAGTGTTGAGGAGTCGAGTGTTGAGGAGCTGAGTGTTGAGGGGTCGAGTGTTGAGGAGCTGAGTGTTGAGGAGCTGAGTGTTGAGGAGCTGAGTGTTGAGGAGCTGAGTGTTGAGGAGCTGAGTGTTGAGGAGCTGAGTGTTGAGGGGTCGAGTGTTGAGGAACTGAGTGTTGAGGAGTCGAGTGTTGAGGAGCTGAGTGTTGAGGGGTCGAGTGTTGAGGAGCTGAGTGTTGAGGAGCTGAGTGTTGAGGAGCTGAGTGTTGAGGAGCTGAGTGTTGAGGGGTCGAGTGTTGAGGAGTCGAGTGTTGAGGAACTGAGTGTTGAGGAGCTGAGTGTTGAGGAGCTGAGTGTTGAGGGGTCGAGTGTTGAGGAGCTGAGTGTTGAGGAGCTGAGTGTTGAGGAGCTGAGTGTTGAGGAACTGAGTGTTGAGGAGTCGAGTGTTGAGGAACTGAGTGTTGAGGAGCTGAGTGTTGAGGGGTCGAGTGTTGAGGAGCTGAGTGTTGAGGAGCTGAGTGTTGAGGAGCTGAGTGTTGAGGGGTCGAGTGTTGAGGAGCTGAGTGTTGAGGAGCTGAGTGTTGAGGAGCTGAGTGTTGAGGAGCTGAGTGTTGAGGAGCTGAGTGTTGAGGGGTCGAGTGTTGAGGAGCTGAGTGTTGAGGGGTCGAGTGTTGAGGAGCTGAGTGTTGAGGAGCTGAGTGTTGAGGAGCTGAGTGTTGAGGAGCTGAGTGTTGAGGGGTCGAGTGTTGAGGAGCTGAGTGTTGAGGAGCTGAGTGTTGAGGAACTGAGTGTTGAGGAGCTGAGTGTTGAGGGGTCGAGTGTTGAGGAGCTGAGTGTTGAGGAGCTGAGTGTTGAGGAGCTGAGTGTTGAGGAACTGAGTGTTGAGGAACTGAGTGTTGAGGAGCTGAGTGTTGAGGGGTCGAGTGTTGAGGAGCTGAGTGTTGAGGAGCTGAGTGTTGAGGAGCTGAGTGTTGAGGAGCTGAGTGTTGAGGAGCTGAGTGTTGAGAAGTCGAGTGTTGAGGAGCTGAGTGTTGAGGGGTCGAGTGTTGAGGAGCTGAGTGTTGAGGAGCTGAGTGTTGAGGAGTCGAGTGTTGAGGAGCTGAGTGTTGAAGGGTCGAGTGTTGAGGAGCTGAGTGTTGAGGAGCTGAGTGTTGAGGAGCTGAGTGTTGAGGAGTCGAGTGTTGAGGAGTCGAGTGTTGAGGAGTCGAGTGTTGAGGAGCTGAGTGTTGAGGAGCCGAGTGTTGAGGAGCTGAGTGTTGAGGAGCTGAGTGTTGAGGAGCTGAGTGTTGAGGAGCTGAGTGTTGAGGAGCTGAGTCTTGAGGAGTCGAGTGTTGAGGAGCTGAGTGTTGAGGAGCTGAGTGTTGAGGAATCGAGTGTTGAGGAGCTGAGTGTTGAGGAGTCGAGTGTTGAGGAGCTGAGTGTTGAGGAGCCGAGTGTTGAGGAGCTGAGTGTTGAGGAGCTGAGTGTTGAGGAGCTGAGTGTTGAGGAGCTGAGTCTTGAGGAGTCGAGTGTTGAGGAGCTGAGTGTTGAGGAGCTGAGTGTTGAGGAGTCGAGTGTTGAGGAGCTGAGTGTTGAGGAGTCGAGTGTTGAAGAGTCGAGTGTTGAGGAGCCGAGTGTTGAGGAGCCGAGTGATGAGGAGTTGAGTGTTGAGGAGCCGAGTGTTGAGGAGCCGAGTGTTGAGGAGCCGAGTGTTGAAGAGTCGACTGTTGAGGAGCCGAGTCTTGAGGAGCCGAGTGTTGAAGAGTCGACTGTTGAGGAGCCGAGTCTTGAGGAGCCGAGTGTTGAAGAGTCGACTGTTGAGGAGCTGAGTCTTGAGGAGCTGAGTCTTGAGGAGCCGAGTGTTGAAGAGTCGACTGTTGAGGAGCTGAGTGTTGAGGAGCTGAGTGTTGAGTAGCCGAGTGATGCATTGGTTCTTATAGAGATGATCTTATATATTTGAAAAGATTCAGTCTGTTCAAAAACAGCTGTTTACAGAGACAAAACATTATACAAAAGGTATCAGTCAGGTTGCAGGTTTGATCTCCTTCAAGTGTTTTTTTTGTTTTTTATGTGTCGGCCACACACGGCTTTGTAATAAATGCAGCCGTGCATGCTCTTACAGCTGTTTCTCATTCTTTTCTGATGTGTTCCTTTTTATAACCCTCAGTTTTTCTCTTTCATTGCCTGTTTTGTCTATTTGACTACACGTTTACATGTTTGTCTTGGTTTTTTAGTTCTTTTGTTTTTTTTCAGACCGGCTTTCCTATGCCATTGAATCTCGTTACCTCTAGCTAGTAACTTGCTTTGATGGATTATTTCTATCTGTTCCTGTCTGCGTTTTAACATGCGTCAAGTGATCGTCTGCCTGGGTCTGAACCTCTGCCTTCTTATAAACTGGCTGCCAGATCGAATATGGATTTTCCCTGTTCCTGCTTTTGTGAGCTCAACTGCTCATCTATTTGCCTCGTGACCTCTTTTTCTGTTATCTAGCCGTCTGTATGGACTTTGATCTTTTGCTGGGCCATTGATTGACATAACTCTTAAAATAAATTTTGAGTTATGATTAAATTTTGATCAATAAATAAATTAACCAGCCATTAATCAGTCTAACTAAAAATCAATAAACTAACATTAAAAATCCCATGGCACTTCTCGTAAAGAGTAGGGGTGTAACCCCGGTGTCCTGGCCACATTCCACCCATTGGCCCCTGCTGCCAATCATGGCCTCCTAATAATCCACATCCACTGAATTGGCTCTATCACTCTCTCTCCTCTCCACCTATAGCTGGTGTGTGGTGAGCGCACTGGCGCCGTTGTACTGTAGCTGCCGTCGCATCATCCAAGTGGATGCTGCACACTGGTGCTGGTTGAGGAGAGAACCCTTGATATGATTGTAAAGCGCTTTGGGTGTACAGTAGTACATATGAAAGCGCTATATAAATGCCTAATTCATTCATTCATTCAACTAACCTGAAACCAATCTCAGTTTGTTTTGATTTCTAAGTGCCATTTAGCCACTTTAGGTAGGTTGAAAAACCTCTTTTAAATAACATCAAATATTAGCAGAAATGTGTAGTCTCAAACAAAACTTTAGTTAAAACATCAAAATTAAGTCAAAAACTATTTGATATGACTTGGGTAAATTGGCTATAGCAATAAAAGTAATTTATATAGGTCAGATCAGAAATAGCTCAATGTAACAACTTACTTTTTGCACCGTATACACAAACACATCACACAGACCCCCTTAATGTGATTTGTAGTGATATGTATCGTGCATTAGTCAAATTAGTAGGCCACTTCTATTTCACAAGTATTTGGAAAATTAGGATGTGACATGTAGTGGTTACACAGAACTGTGATATGCAAAACACCAATATGGAAATGAACCCAGAAAACTAGCACACAATCAGGAATGCAAGTTGTGCAAAAAGGGTTAAGAAAGAAACAAAAGATGAGAAGTAAGTGTCTTGCTGAACAATCAAATAAAGCATCAAAATGAAATAATAATCCATTATTGTCTAAAACATACCCATTATTAATTATTCCTAAGGAAAATAGTCGAGATATATTGTTTTATTATTGCTATTAATTGTTAAAAATAATAACATAGTATAGTTAACTATATATAATTAACTTGTATAACAATTGTAACAATTTCAAAAGTGAACCTTACCTGCGGTAAAGATTAAGAGCAGAAAGTGGTCCATTACACACAACAAATATAAAACTAACTACTAATATGAAGTCTTGTTACTGTCTGCTTTATAAAGGGCTGGATCTTTACTGGAGTGGGAAGTCCATCAGTCAAGGAAATAACCACCCATATCCAATTATACTTACATTACAGACCGAGCTAAACAATAAAAGTATATTACATATTATTCCGTGTTATTCACATAGGCACAGCACATATACCAATCTTTCTCCAAAACACACATGCTAAATTATGGAGGGATATTGGGATGTTAAAACTGAAAGCTCAAGAATCCATTAATTCATCCTATATACCCTTTGTCAACATGTTTAATGATGTAGAGGAATAAAACAATTAAACAGTTTCTATTTTCTACAAGTGTGAATACATTTTTAGGCAATGATTAGCGTACCTAACCTTACCTGTATCCCACATTAAAAGCAAGATAAAACATGAACACAATAAGGACATTGTACCAAAAAAAAAAAAAAGTATGTTAATGATTATACATTACCATACCTGTATCCCACCTCAATAACAAGATAAAACATGAACACAATGAGGATATTGCACCAAAACATTTTCTTATGTAAGTAGTTAAAGACATGTGGACATTTAATAAAAGTGGGACAATATTTGTAAAAATTTCCTAATCCTATGAAAAGCTTCCTTTGTCCTTATCTCCATGTATAATATTTACTGTACCGAATCATTATGTTAAGCATCAACATTTGACAAATATCACTATAAACTGTAGTTATATTTTGTTTCACCATCGCTGAGCCTTGAGAGCAGAAAAGAATAAATCAAACAAACCACATATTTTCAAATAAACTTTCTTTTAATAAACAGTAAGAAAATTGAAATCCATAATTTGTCCTAAAGCAAGTCTGATCAAAGACTAAAGTACAATTTTTGAAAAGACTGTTTGCATATTATGTTATATTATAATATCTAAAGTTTACTAAACACTGTAACAAATTATGTGATCAAAAAGTAATGACAACATATGCTTTTACATTGCTTAACTCATCAAAATAAGTCATGCAATTTTCAACTTTGTTATACAAGGTTCAACTAATTAATTTAATGTAATTTAGGTTGAAATGATCTACATTTTTAAGTACAATCAACCTGTACAGTACCTAATGAGAGTATATGAGATAATTTAATAATGTATTAAATAATATTAAACTGAACTAAAATAAATTTCAGCAAACAAAGGGAATCTTGCAATCTTGTCTTGTCCTTGGCTTTTTCTGTCCATTTTCCATGTTAAGGCTCTCCCCCTGATTCAGTCTTAGAATCCAGATTATATCGAGCTCTCGTCTTTAGAAAAGACTTCAGTGTGAATAAAAAGAAAATCTGAACACCCTTTGAAGGACAGAAAATGAGGTCGTCAGTCACCAAACAAAGCAAGACAGCTTCAATAAATCCAATAAAAATGTATATTAATATTGTGTCAAAAATATTATTAACAGTGCAATAACACACCTGTGTTGTATTGCAGAGACAGAAGACCACACTGAGAATGATGTAGAGTGTTTTGTCATGGGTGATGAGCACAAAGTAACCAATGATCCAGGACAAACCGAGCACCACAGCCAGAGAGAAACTACTCAAAATCTTCTTCTTTAAAGGAGTGGTTCGTGAGCTAAAGAACCAAAAAATATAGCAAATATGAACTTTTATTAAATTGCAAATATTATGTTGCCATTATTAAAGCTTTGAGAATTACACCTTAGGCAGCTACTACTGTACTTAGGCCTACATTATCTTCAATAAACTATTTTCAATCCGAATCAAACTTCAAGGAATGTCTTCATAACCTTTGACTTGTTTTAAACCCGGAACATTTGTTTACGGTTCAGTTACGTACCTCTTCAGGTTGGGATTTGCACGGCAGATGGTTTGAGAGAAGTAAACAAGCAGAGCTGTGTTAAAACACAACATGACCGCTAGAGGGAGCAAGAAACCCCATAACATCGGCCGCTTCGGATCAAACGTTCCCGCCTTGTCCAGAGACGCCAACCAACAGCTAAAACAGGACAAAGAGAGAACGAGAAATACTTGGATGTGTAAGTAATAGGTAAGTAAGAGGAAGAGGACCAGAAAGCTGTAAAGCTCCTCTAACTTGTAATTTTCCACAGCTCATGTTGTGTGGATTTTTTTGTATACTGAAATTTTCTGGAAAGATACTTTTAGCAGCGTTTCATCAGCAGAACAGAACAAAACACATTCAATAACAGTACAACCCACTGAAGAGATGTATATCTATCTATCCCTTACAGCCTCGCTTTCATTCCTGTTAAAAAATTAAAAATGGCGCTTTTGTAACTTGAATGTGCGAGGCGCTCCGGTGTCTCCGCTTACACTTATTTTGGAATAAGAAACAGTCTGTTATACTGCTTGATGTTGCAAACTGTTCTTTATCATATAATTTAAAATGTATTATACTACAGGGCCGTTGAATGCTTGAATCTGATTGGTTGAGGAACGTTCTAAGGTGTGCAATTATTTTCAGGGAAACGCACGGCTAAAGTAGTTACAGGCAGGTCTTGACCACATTCGCTAGTTGCATAACAACGGAAATAGAATTTCCGGTTTGTCTGCGGTGAGCTGGATCACTTCCGGTCACTGCTTCCGTCAATGGCACTCGCTTACTTAACCGACCGTTCAGCATAGTGTAAAAAAAACACACGAGTCTTTTTGGTATTAAAACAGGTGTTGTACCGAATTCCGACTCGCGGACAAATCACACGCCCCTTCGCGTGCACGCGCCTCTCACATAAATACGCGCTGAAGCGAGTTTGAATGCACTTCCTTTGCCATATGCGTTTATCGATTGATTTTTCTCACAGCAAGCACCCAGATCCTGCATGAAAGCTTTGTCTACACTTACATAAATTAACAGAAAGTGAACTAGTGTGGATAAAAGATGCAAACAAACAAAAACGTATGGCAGATCGATTAAAACTATAAACTTCGACGGGTAAAGCTACCATAATAAAGCTACAGCTGTCAAAACATAACTGTTAATTTCACATAATTTAACTGAACGTAACTTTTGTGTGTTAAACACGATGTGGTTCATAGGAAAATATTGTAGGCCTATTACTCTCCCCATTGCACAAGAATGTCATTAAAAATAATAATATTGAACCTTTTTCATGAAGATAGGCTTTAGTTCATAAACAAATTATTATGCATGCACTCGATCTTTATTTTTTTGTAATATGGCAGCAGTTTTTAAGGGCACCTGAACGCAAAACAATTGCTCCAGCTATTTTAATTGTATATCCATAAGCAATCCCAGCTAGAATTTTTTTTGTTCTGTTCTAATGTTTTCAGCGGGTAGTTTTATTTTTGTTCCCAAAAAGAACATTGTATAATCTGTGATCTCAACAACATTCCCAAAACATCCTCAAAATGTTACAGTTAAAACATCCTTAGAACATTATTTGAACATTACATTCAAATGTTTTCTTTAAAACAGTAACCTCGTAGGGCTTTACAAGGTTAAACCAAACTTGTAGGGAATGTTAGCCAAAGTTCTGAGAACGTTCCCTGCTAGGATGCAAGATATGAAATTGAAAGAATGAATGAAATAAATAATGTTTTTTGTGGTCCTAATGTGCCGGAAAATAACTATAATGAAAAAAAAAAAATGTCTAAGGTTTCTTTACATCCTTAGCTTTATTTATTCTTAGCTTTAGTCAATGATCACATTATTATAATTATAATTATCAATTATAATTTCTATTTTTAATATGCAATTAAGCAAAAACAAAACAAACATAAAAACAGGTATTTGCCTCATAGGCTATAGTCTATTATATACAATATACAGACATGTATTTTATGAACTAAAGCCTATCTTCATGAAAAAGGTTAAATATTATTATTTTTAATGACATTCGTGTGCAATGGGGAGAGTACAATATTTTCTTATGAACCACATCGTGTTTAACACAAAAAAGTTACGTTCAGTTAAATTATGTGAAATTAACAGTTATGTTTTGACAGCTGTAGCTTTATTATGGTAGGCCTAGCTTTACCCGTCGAAGTTTATAGTTTTAATCGATCTGCCATACGTTTTTGTTTGTTTGCATCTTTTATCCACACTAGTTCACTTTCTGTTAATTTATGTAAGTGTAGACAAAGCTTTCATGCAGGATCTGGGTGCTTGCTGTGAGAAAAATCAATCGATATGGCAAAGGAAGTGCATTCAAACTCGCTTCAGCGCGTATTTATGTGAGAGGCGCGTGCACGCGAAGGGGCGTGTGATTTGTCCGCGAGTCGGAATTCGGTACAACACCTGTTTTAATACCAAAAAGACTCGTGTGTTTTTTTTACACTATGCTGAACGGTCGGTTAAGTAAGCGAGTGCCATTGACGGAAGCAGTGACCGGAAGTGATCCAGCTCACCGCAGACAAACCGGAAATTCTATTTCCGTTGTTATGCAACTAGCGAATTACCGTTCCATATCACTTCGCGTAGTCAACTGTCATAACGGAAAATATCATAACAAGAAAAAACATGCAGCCCATGCGCTTGATCTGCCATTTTCAATGTCTAACTTCACAGACATCGAAAGACATCGAAAGACTTCACAGACATCGACAGACATTATAACGGAAAATATAATACAATTCATAACAAGAAAAAACATGCAGCCCATGCGCTTGATCTGCCATTTTCGATGTCTAACTTCACAATCAATGGAAACATGCAGTTTAATTTTAATAAATAAAGTATATAGTCCTATCTATAATCAATCAAATAAAACTGAATATAGGCCAAATACATTGATAGTCCTGCTGCACGGGTTTTCGTAATTAATGCAGATAATAGGCTATAACAAATAAATAATTATTGATAGGCCTATACTTGTTAATAGGACTTTGTGTTTCATTTATAGGCTAGTCTACTGTCAATATTAGAAGAAAAAAAAACATGAACGAACTAATTAAAACGAATTGAGTTAATTAATAAATAATAATATTGACGCACATGCTTCTCTCTCTCTCTCTCTCTCTCTCTCTCTCTAATAACTGCATTAATAACTGCATAAAGCCGAGGACACACTTATTGTAAGGGCGGTTATGAATGTAATTTGAAACTTTGTTATGATTGATCATGCCCAAACGCGTGTTCAGCACGTTCAGTCTGTTCACAGTCGGTGTGTAAAATCTGCTGCAGCCGATGGAAACAGTCAGAGAGTGTTTCAGCCAGTCGTTAAGTGTGTCCAGCATTTAGTCTGCTATCAGTGGCTCAATCCTCCGTTACTAACTCTAAAATGACGTTTTGGAATTAGCAACGGAGGCATGGGATTAGATGCGCAAGAAATTAGTCCTACATACAAGAGCGTTTTAATGACAAAAACTTTACAAACGTCTTGAAATACATCATTTGAACAATGTTTCGAGGTGTGGTAACTGTAGTATAAGCGGAATAATTGACTTCAGGCCGTTAAATTATTAGAAAAATAATGCACACCCGAGGTGTAACGGCCACTCCGCTTCGCGTCGTGACCGCATTACCACCTCGGGTGTGCATTATTTTTCTAATAATTCAACGGCCTGTCATCAATTATACCTTACTTATTGTAATCATAAACACACTTTGTAGCAAAACTAGTTCTCTTACGAGAGGTTCTCTTGTATTGCGTAAAATCTTACGCTGGGGAAAACCTCTTTTCTACGAGATATTGAAGCCAAAAATGATCCTTAATTTTGAATTAGTGTATAACGCGTTGCGGCAGCATGCAGACATAGGCAAGACGGCTCGCGTGCCTATTGGCTGTACTGCGGCAACTGCAACAGCCTATCGAGAGAGGCCCTTGGTGACGTCAGATCCAATGAGGGCGCTTCGCGCCCACTACGTCACCTCCTGCCAAAGCGGGCGTGGCCTGGGCCTATAAATAAAGCTCGATGGGCTGATATAATCTGATTTTTCATCTCTTCAGCGAAGCTCACGCATCGCTGGATCCGGAGTGAAGAAGCCGCGCCGTCTGAGAAAAGCCTTCTGCGGGACGAGCCTTTGCATCTGAAGCCGCTGGCCTTCATCTCGCCGCCTTCAGTCGCCGTACCTGCTACGCTTTCCGGCGTTTATATCCTTTTACTCTGCCGAGTGTGTGTGTTCGCCGCTGCGACTCACACTCTCTCTATCTAAAAGAGCAGCGTCTTTTTAAAGATGCCTCATTCCTGTGGCTCGTGCCGAGCCACACTCAGCGACGGGGACCGCCATTTTATCTGCGTTTCCTGCCTGGGTAAGGATCATGCAGCTCTCGCGCTCGCTGACGGCGGCAGCCATCATTGCGAGCTATTGCCCGTGGTGACTCTGAGGACTCGCCTGGCATTTTTCTCAGAGTCTGCACTTCCGCCCGCTATAGTGCCGCGCCGTAAAAAACGCCATACTCAGCGGGTCCCCGAGCCTTCTCCAGCCCGCGAAAGCTCACTGGTTCGCCCGCCACCTTCACCAGCTTCACTCGAGTCGCTCACCGACGGACAACGGCTGCCGTCCGCCGCCGCTTCCACCATTAATGACGACGAGATAGAGCAGCTGTTCTCCTCTACAGATGCAGCTATCCTGGCGTCGGACACTGAGGATTGGGCGAGCTCTGTGGACCTCCCCCCCTCTGCCCGCGAGTCGTCAGGGAAACAGGCCAGCATCGAATCCGAGCTGATGCGTCTGCTCTCACAGGCCGTGGCGAGCCTCGGCCTTGAGTGGACGGCGCCCGCGCACAGCCGACTGGATGGATGTTTCCTGCAAAGGGACCGCGCTCCACAGTCTTCTAGGCCCGCACCTTTTCTTCCTGAACTTCATGAAGAAGTCGCGAAGTCTTGGAACGCCCCCTTCTCAGCCAGAGTGCGTTCCTCTGTCCCAGCAGCATTCTCCGTGGTGGACGGTGCTAAAGACAGAGGATACCACTCTAAGAAGCTGTAGCGGCCCATCTTTACCCACCCTCTGCTGGACGGCGAGCTAAGACGGCGCTACCTTCTAAAGCTTGCCGCACTACTTCCGCTATGCACAGCCACGCTTATACCGCCGCTGGGCAGGCTGTATCGGCATTACACTCGATGGCCGTACTGCAGATCTTCCAAGCCGACCTTGGATGAGGAAGGACCGGAAGCTATCAGCGTGCCGGATTTGAGGAGTGCTACTGACGAAATCTAGAACAGACCCATTCTAGATCTAAGACAGCTGAACAAAGTGCTTGTGAAACGCCAGTTCAGATTGCTCACAACCAGGAAAATCCTTGCGCAGGTTTGCCAAGAGGACTGGTTTATGTCAATAGATCTGAAGGACGCGTATTTCCAAATACAAATAGCATCACGTCACAGGCGATTCTTGAGATTCGCCTTCGAGGGCCAGGCATATCAATACACAGTCCTACCGTTCGGCCTGTCCCTAGCACCCCGTACATTTACAATGTGCATGGACGCGGCTCTCGCACCCCTGAAACTTCGGGGCATGCGAGTTTGATACTACTTGGACGATTGGCTGATTCTAGCTCGATCACACTCAGAGCTCATAGAACACAGGACCATATTACTCGAACATCTCGAGAATCTAGGTCTCAAAGTCAATTGGGCGAAAAGTTTGCTGTCTCCCAGTCAGAGAATATATTTTCTGGGCACAGAACTGGACTCGCTGTCTATGACAGCGCGACTGTCGCCAAAGCGCAGACTGAACATTCAGCGCATCACGAAATCCTTCCGCTGCAGCACTATAGTCCCGCTCAAAAGGTTTCAGAAAATGCTGGGTCTCATGGCCTCAGCATCATCAGTACTCCAGTTGGGTCTGCTTCACATGCGCCAGCTGCAGTTATGGCTAAAAGCGCGAGTACCACCTCGGGCATGTTTCGCCTCAAGGTCGATCAGAAATGCTTCACAGCTCTGAAACCTTGGAGAGCAATCGACTGGTACCAGTCAGGTGTAAACCTGGGGACTTCCTCGAGTGTGAAGGTGGTGTCCACGGATGCCTCCACCTCGGAATGGGGAGCGCTGCTCGAGGGCAGACCGTTCTTTGGCCAGTGGTCAGAACGGGAGAAGCTCCTACACATAAACTGTCTAGAAATGATGGCAGTCGACAACGAGCTGAGGCGTTTTTGTCCCAGAATAAAAGGTCAAGGTCTACGGTTAAAAAAATAAGCCTTTAAATAAAAGGGTTATTGAGCTGTTTACACTGTAATATACAATAAAAGGGACATTAAAATGAATACAAAAAAACCTGCCTACCTTATACACAACACCGAAGGTGGACTTGAGTTTAGGAGTATGGTAGAGTTAGAGCACGTAAATTCTTTGAACTACAACGGTCACAAATATCACGTCACACTCTGCGCGTATGTTAAAAAAAACATAATTCAACATTTAAATAACACGTTTTAATGACCAACTGAAAGTGTTTACAATAAAGAAATTACTAAATAAATATAAATAAATGTAAATAAATAAAAAATTGCGCTGCATTTACAATCCTGTGAAAACAGGGGGTGCTGCTTCCTCCCTACATCCCGCGCCCTGCATAGTACATGAAGCATACAATATTACAAACCGTATTTCCAGCACTTTATGAACATGTGTAGGCAACGTCCTCTGACCTACCTATTAATACAAGGACGTACCACTGTCTGGAAGTGGAAAACTAGATTCAAAGAAGCCCTGTCAAATATGTACACTCTCCTCCTCTCATTCTGTGAGAACATGCGCGCGAGCAGTAAACACAGGCATGTGTGTAACAAGTAGTATGGCCTTGAATTGAGATCATGACAGTCGCCAACACGATCACGCAGGCTGGAGTGCCGTCTACTAGAGTCTAGACGACACTATTCCTCAAAATGGTCTGTGTTTTCTGGCTGGTGCAACGCTCGATGCTTTTCACCCCTAGACTGCAGGGTTACGGAAGTTCTCTCCTTCCTTCAAGAGCTACTGGATAAGGGCAGAACCCCATCCACGCTCAAAGTTTATGTGGCGGCCATAGCTGCGTTTACAAAACCCACGACTGGCCAGTCACTGGGGAAGAACGATCTGGTCATCCGCTTCCTTAGGGGGCTAAGAGGCTGAATCCTCCCAGACCCCCCTCAGTCCCCATTAGGGCTGCAACGATTAGTCGACGTTGTCGACAACGTCGACAATAAAAATTTGTCGACAAATATCTTTGTTGTCGAGTAGTCGTTTGATCTCACGTGACCTAATGTAAGGGCCTGCAATCCCGCGATTTGACCGCTACGGCGCTGTAGCGCTAGAGTGTAGTGCAGCCCTTACAAATGCTATTGCGGTAGAAGAGAAAACAGCGCGAATTATGACAGTGCAAACGAATCCGAACTAGCAAGGTTTAGGTTTGGGAAAGTTTCACAAAACTTCAAATCAAGAATGCTGTCGTGTGCAATGTTGGGGTGCAAGAGGAAACATCCCGGCAAAAGAGGAGCCGGTGAGAAGTGAGTGTTCTCCAGCTGGAGCTAACTAACCACCAGCGGCAAATCTCTCTTTATTAGAGAATGCAATACTACTAATAATAGTAATAATATTATCAATAGTAATATAATTACAGTAATGTGATGACTTATTTTGTATAGAATAAAGCTTGATCGAGCTTAGGAGTCAGGGCTGTTTTTATTATTGTAACACTATTAGTATATTAGGTATTATTATAGTCTTATCACTTGCCTGTATTTTGTTCAATAATCATGAAGACTTACAAAAGAGATGTTATATCCTTCCTATGATATAGGAAGAATATCACGGCAGTAACTTTATCATACTATAAATTAAAAGGGAATGAGAACGTCTCTGTCAGCTCAATTGTCATGTAAAAAAAGATTGTAATTTTATAATTATAATAATTGTTTGCAGATTAATATTTTACCATTCTTTGTGTCCTGAAGTAAATGTCCCTTTTTCTGTTTCAGTTCTAAGAAAAGCAGTGGGCCTATTAAACAATGCTTAGAGAGCATTTGTGTGTGATTTGAGTTGGACCGAAATCTGAAAACTTAAAAGAGAATGACCTGTTTAGTTGGCTCAAAGTTCATTAAAACAACTATTTCAAAAGCTGAAGTGATTTTCTTTTTTTATATTATAGTTAGAATATGTATAACTCAATGTTTTAACTAATTGGAAAAGCTGAATAATCGTTCCAAACTTACTGATTAGTCTGCGAAATAATCGACGATTAGTCGATTAATCGTTCTAATAATCGTTAGATTAATCGATTATCAAAATAATCGTTTGTTGCAGCCCTAGTCCCCATGTGGGACATTTCCACGGTTTTGGAAGCCATGAAAGGTGCCCCGTTCGAGCCAATCCATTTGTCAGACATGAAACATCTGTCGTTCAAGACAGTGTTTCTTATGGCTCTTGCTTCAGTGAAGCGCATAGGGGATTTACAAGCGCTCTAAGTAAGCGTGGGTATCTCAAACCAAGACACGATGGATCCAGATGGATAGATGATGCCATAGCGCTGGCATACACGTCTAAAGGCTTGAAGTGTCCTTTAGGTGTTAGAGCGCACTCCACAAGAGGCATGGCCTCGTCGTGGGCTTGGTCTAGCGGGATTACCTTGCAGGATATCTGTATGGCGGCAGGCTGGGCCTCCCCGTCTACATTTATAAGGTTTTATAACCTAGAGGTTCCCGCCTTACAGGCTAAACTACTTTCGGTCTAAAAATCAGTATTGTCTGCCCCGTTGCTTCGGCTCAGAATACTACAACCGCTTGAGCACCGCTCGCTGATCGATAAAATAACTCTATGGACAAAAGTAAGACCCATACCATTACCCAGTTCAGGCTGAACATTTTCACCCTGACTGTGTGGAACACTGTTGATGTGATTAGCTCCCTTAGGATGCTAACTTATTGGGAATGATGGTTCTAGCCTCTCTTCTCAGACTCTTTGTGAGTCCCTGGTGATTATGCACTATATGAGCCCTGGGCACCTGCCCTTGGGACTTTGGTGTTGGATCCCAGCACGCACTGCGTTTTACACTGTGTTCCCCTAGCGTAAGATATTACGCAGTACGAGAGAACCTCTCGTAAGAGAACGTACTCGGTTACTAACATAACCTTGGTTCTCTCTAGAAGAGGGAACGAGTACTGCATATCTTTGCCGTGCCTGCAACACACTCTGGTTCACTTCGGCGATGAAAAACCAGATTATATCAGCCCATCGAGCTATATTTATGGGCCCAGGCCACACCCGCTTTGGCGGGAGGTGATGTAGTGGGCGCGAAGCGCCCCCATTGGATCTGACATCACCAAGGGCCTCTCTCGATAGGCTGCTGCAGTTGCCGCAGGACAGCCAATAGGCACGCGTGCCGTCTTGCCTATACGCAATGCGTTTTACATTAATTCAAAATTAAGGATAATTTTTGGCTTCAATATCTCGTGGAAAAGAGGTTTTCCCCTAGCGTAAGATATTACGCAGTACGAGAGAACCTCTTCTAGAGAGAACCGAGGTTACGTTAGTAACCGAGTACGTTTTACTGTTTAGTTTTTTTCTGCACTTCTTTGTTATTCTTTTAGTTAGGCTAAACTATAGTGATCAATGAATCAGAAATCTTGCACAGTCACAAGAAAGTGAAATGATTTTTAACTTACAACTCTTCTTGTCGATAACCTGAAGGGTCCTTAAAGCTGTAGGTGGTAGCCAGCGAAATGCCGACAATAACAGCAGGCAGACCTAAGACATTATAATTGATCAAAATGATTAAATGTTAGCCTATATGATTATCCTCATGCTCATTTCTACATTTAAGTTGGGTTAAAAGTAAAAATTTAATAACAGTTCTTTAGTAAACCTCAAAATAAATATCCACTTTTCATCCTGTAAATTAAAAAAGATTTGATGCCTAAACTGTTATAGTAGTAGTGCACTACCAATAGTTTTAATATGCCCATTTATTGGTTATCGGCAATATCATGAAATCATCAGCCAGAATTTTAAAATAGGCTAAATATATAACGTAATACCATATCTGTGTTTACAGTTATGCAGACAGACTCAAAGTGTCATGTTTTTTAATATCAGTGTGTTTTATGAAATGTACCCCAGCCGGCTGTCATGGCGATGATGCGGAAACCTCGTGGTGGACCGCTGAGGGCGTTTCTGATGAGGAAAAACACGTGAGCCGCATACATGATGTTCCAGGCAAACGTGGCCAGCAGGAAGTACTGCAGCAGAGCTGTGATTGCCGTACAAGGACCCTGATCAACATTCGGTTGCATATCTGAAGAAGGAACAACGTTCTGCTCTGAAACAGAGGCCTTTGAGCTCGGGACGGGGTTGTTGATTCCAAAAATGAACAGCAGGTAATAGGTGGTCATGCACAAACAGATGTTCACTAAGAGCATAGTGGAGTTGGCTCCTCTCAGTTTCCTGTAGTGTTGTAAAGAATTAAGTTTATTTGATATGGGGGGAAAAATTAAGAGGACACTCTTTATATTTTGCCTGTTTCACAAACCAGAACCATGGAAATACCATTAGTTGGCTAGACATGATAGAATGGAAATACACTGAGGAAAAAAGAGAAAGTTTTTCCTATCTGTCTTGTTTTCCAGTAAAAAAATATTGTCGATGCACCGATATTAAAGTCTGGCTGATACTGGTGAGCTGATAGTTATGGTTACGATTGATTAGGGTTGATAACTAATACATGCCTGATTTTAAAATCTATACTATTTTGTCCAGATAATTAAAAAATTCAATACCTAAAAATCTAAAATGAATCATTTTAAATGCTACAAGTGAATTCACTGTGAGATAATACATTTAGCAGTGTTATCAAATTTGTGTTTTTAAAAATTTACTTTAAAGGTGCAGTGTGTGATTTTTAGCGGCATCTAGTGGTAAGGTTACGAATTGTAACCAGCAAAAGTTACGGTGGCCGATAAGAAAGATGTTGTCGTCTGAGACTGCAGAGTAGCCAGTACAGCAATGAGGTTTCTTTACAGAGATAAATTAAGAAATTATGTTTACTTTATTATACAGTAAAACAATGTTATTGCAAATATTATTGTTACTTGGTCATCATTGTGTCTGTGTTTTATTCGCTGACTTTAGCTAGCTTCCTTGCACGAAGAACAACATAGTGACGAAACGCGTTTGTCCGTTTAGGGCTCCTGTAGAAACATGTCGATGTAAGAGGACCCGCTGTGTATGTTGATAGAAATGGCTCATTCTAAGGTAATTAAAACATAACGGTTCATTAAGTAAGGTCTTTATACACGACTGAAAACATAGTTATGTATATGATATTGCATTTCTGTCAACAGATCCTCCTAAATATTACACAATGCACCTTTAAGTGAGTGGTAAATGCCAAGGTGCTGTAATCTAATATGGTTACTTTATAATGTGGATATAGTATATTGTTCATCTACAACAATAAAAACAAATAATAATAATAACATGAAGCAAAACTATGCAATATAATATAACTAGAATGTATTTTACTTTAATTTTAATTTATTTATCTTATTGTTAAAATGTTATTTTCACTAAAATGAGCTAGATTTGTGCTTTACAAAAATAAATGCATAATTGCCAAATAAGCCAAATATTTGATTCAAGATATACTCTCTCAAAACCAAGATAGCAATTTGTTTCAAAATAAATCTACCTTGTTTTAAGTATGTTTAGATATTTCTTTTACTGAAAAACCAAGACAAAATACCAAGGTCTTTTGGACATGTAAGTACATTTGATTACCATGTGAATATTACAGTGTATGAATATGGTGATTATATAGTAGCTTGGTATCAAAGGACAATAGTATTACTTTATTACTCTATTACTAATATTCTTTAAATGTATCCAGTGCTTTAGTACAAACCTGGTCTTAATTTGATAAACTGTAGTGAGGATCAAACCCACAATAGACAGACTGCATCCCACAATACTGATCCAGTTTAAAGCCTCGGAATAATTATAGTCTGCTCTAAAGCTCTACAAAAAGGAGAGAGAAATCTTGATAGTTAATATAGTTCACCTAGATTTATGAAGGTAAATCAGTAGCTAAACTCGAGAGCACGTAGATGTGAATTTGAGAACTTGTACAATAAATATTCGTACTTGTATGTGAACATTTACACTCACAGCTCCGATGTGAAAACCTGTAAAATAAAAATCTGAACTTGAACGCTGAGATTTGCACTCGCAGACAATAGTCACAAACCTGTATTCTGAATCTGAAGCTGCAGACAAGCAGTCACAAATGTGTAAAATGCCATTCACAAAGATACAACGACAGACACAAACTTGTAATACAAATTTGCACTTCTTCTAACATTCAAATTCGCAGTACAACCTCAAATTGGCACTTGCAACTTCTCAAATCTGTCACTGCAAGTTCAAATTTCGCGCCTTGACTTTTGCTACTCTTTTCGCGATATATGAGGTGCAAAACTGATTTGTGCACTTGTAACTCAGTGGCGGCGAGAGCGGAAGGGGGGCGGGAGCGGGGGTGTTCGAAGGAGCCGTTTTATTGGTTGGCGCCTAGCCAATGAAATGGGACTTCTATTGAATGCGATGATGTCACGAAACCCGCCTCCTCGTGGATGTTCTGAAACGCTAACATGGCTTAATGCATTAGACTGATTTAAAAGACATAAATTATATTATCAAACTTAGTGATATTAACACCATACTAATAATGCATACTACAGAAAAGCAGATGAGCACAGAACATGACGAAAGAAAGCTAATTTGTGTTCAGTGCAAATAAACCAGCTGCCTGTGTTTAATTAATAATGTATAACGAATTTATATATATTTATATATATATATATATATATATATATATATAACTGTTGGTCCATTAAGCCTCATTAAGCGTTTTCTTGGTTTTCTATGAGAGGAAAATGCTTAACGTACAATTAAACGAGTTGCGTTCATTTTCTGCTCAATTGCTTTTCTGTATGCTTTATTTATGGTGTTTCCTGAGTTTGGTCTTTTAATACCACTGTCTTAAGTTAACGTGTTGCGTTCATATTCTGTGCTCATCTGCTTTTCTCTAGTATGCATTATTGTGTTTACTAAGTTTGATAATATAATTTATGTCTTTTAAATTAGTCTAATGCATTAAGCCATGTTATCGTTTCAGAACATCCACGAGGAGGCGGGTTTCGTGACATCATCGCGTACAATAGAAGTCCCATTTCATTGGCTAGGCGCCAACCAATAAAACGGCTCCTTCGAACACCCCCGCTCCCGCCCCCCTTCCGCTCTCGCCGCCACTGAGTTACAAGTGCACAAATCAGTTTTGCACCTCATATATCGCACGAAATTTGAACTTGCAGTGACAGATTTGAGAAGTTGCAAGTGCCAATTTGAGGTTGTACTGCGCATTTGAATGTTAGAAGAAGTGCAAATTTGTATAACAAGTTTGTGTCTGTCGTTGTATCTTTGTGAATGGCATTTTACACATTTGTGACTGCTTGTCTGCAGCTTCAGATTCAGAATACAGGTTTGTGACTATTGTCTGCGAGTGCAAATCTCAGCGTTCAAGTTCAGATTTTTATTTTACAGGTTTTCACATCGGAGCTGTGAGTGTAAATGTTCACATACAAGTACGAATATTTATTGTACAAGTTCTCAAATTCACATCTATGTGCTCTCGAGTTTAGCTACTGATTTACCTTCATATAGATTCACCAATTTTTCATGTGTACTGTGTATTTTTACTACCACATTACAGGTAAGTTAACATAACAAAATGTGTTAGCTTAGCATCATGCTAACAACAGATTCTCCTGACATTAAATATGAGACTTGTCTGTGTCATTTTCTTGAGGAGCATTATTTACTACGTATATAGAAAGTTTCCACAGGAAGCGATGTTGCACTTTAGTAACTCAGACTATCTAGGGAGATCACTATAGGTTTTAGAGCAAAGTTTAAATAGTTTATTTAACACATGTATGTTAAACTAACCATTAGAACTGCAAAGTTGGTGGTGTGGTTGCATTTACACTGGACACCACTGGGATCTTGTATTTTGACGCAGCCCTCTGTTCTCCAGTCTCTATGAGCGTAGTCCCAAAACACACATGCAAAGTCGCCAAATGTCATGCTGGATATATTCTGAAAACATAAACATATGTAAAAAAAAAATTGTGTGCCCTACCATCAGAAGCTTGGAATAATTAAGAGTTTTCAATATTTTTGGAAGAAGTCTCTTCTCTTTATTTGATGAAAAATACAGTAATATTGTAAAGTATTATTACAATTTAAAATAAATGTTTTCTATTTTATTATATTTTATAATGCAATCCATCAATAAATTGTGTTGCGTAATTTATGCACAATTTAATGTTATTACTATAGTAAGCACATGTAATATGTGTAACAGGGACACCGTAAAATAAAGAAAAGTGTTACTCTTATATTCTTTCTTACCCCAAACTTTTGAATGGCAGTTTATTGCAGTTTCCACAAAAATATTAAGCAGCACAAGTGTTTTCAACATTGATAATAATCAGAAATGTTTCTTGAGCAGCAAATCAGCATATTAGAATTATTTCTGAAGGATCATGTGACACTGAAGACTGGAGTAATGATGCTGAAAATTCAGCTTTGATCACAGGAATAAATTAAATTTAAAAATATATAGTATTTAACTAGAAAACTGCCATTTTAAAATGTAATAATATTTCACAATATTACTTTTTTTTCTGTATTTTTCATCAAATAAATTCAGGTGAGTAAAAGAGACTTCTTCCCAAACGATGACTGGTAGTGTATTAATACTTTTACTAATTCCAATGGAATAATCCATAGTTCATGTTAATTGATTTATTTTCAGGGCAAGTCTAAGCAAAATTTGCAGGATAGTATGCAAACCGGTCATTCCTGATCCTCATAACCCTGACAGGGTTTATTTTGTGATAACGAAAGGCTAACTTTACAGTTATTCCATGTGTAGGCGTTTTATTGACTGGTAACAGTGATTCAGAGAAGCTGCTATATGTAATGTAATCATTATAAGTTTACGCTCACTTACCTTGGGCCTAATGGCGAACTTCACGTTATCAAGCAAGCTTTTGTCTGTGAGGCTAGCAGAGATGACCCTTCTCTTCGTATCTAGTTGGCTATTAAACTGTTTTGAGTTGAAAAAACGGTCGTTTTCATAAAGCACCACTCCAATACTTAGATTTTTCTTCCCTACAGGAAAGGAGAAGGAGAGAAATTTATTCAAAACGTTGAGTTTAATTATGTTCCTCAAACCAAGAGCAACAACAACAGGGACATAAACGGTACCCCAATCTTTCTGGGAATTGTTTTGCAGTTTGATAGTTAACATGAGATCAACGGGACGTCCTGAAGGGGAAGTCTTGTTTGCAGCGTCTCCAACCAGACCTATTCCTTCAGGACTAAATTTCTCTGACAGTCCTAGTGAAATGCAGCTTAGGTTATGAAGTAGAAATGTTTTTCTAATATCACAAAGATATAACAATTACATGTGAAGCTAAATTTGCTCTTTATGTTTCTGCTCTGACCTGTTTGAGCGAAGAATTGCACTTCCGGGCTCCACTTTGACAACTTGATGTGTTGCACCACTAGGTTTGGCTGCACCAGTGTACTAGAGTTCATGCTACTTACGTTCAAAGCAAAATCCTCCAAAGTCTTAGTGAGTCTAAAGATATAATACACATGAAAAAGTTCAACGCACATCCATCCTAATGAGAAAATAAATAAATAAACAGTTTCAGTTACAGTTTTTTCAAAGTCCACTTTTTGAATTGTCTTTAGTTCAAAAAAAGTACCTTGGAAAATAGATTGAGATTAAATTTAGTTTTCTTTCAAATAAGAATATTTAATGTTATTTATGTCCGCAAAAATTGTGTCAACTATGTTACTAACTAAACACCCCCCTGAAAATTAAAAAATGGTTTGACCCCAAACCATGTGAGCAGCATCATTTTCTTCTGTGGCAGATATTTTGAACACATTGTGGTAAATATCCTCTTATCGCCTTTTTTCACCTTTGTTGCCATTTGGCTTTTGGCTTGCTTAGTTGGGGACATGAAATTTAACATTTAATTTAATATTCAACAATAATGTTGATCTGCCTGCATTGACACCATTATATGAGAACTGAACTGAGCTGGACGATGACATCACGGTTTTCTCTAGAGCGGCTATATATATATAAATTAACTAAATTAATAACTTTTTTCCAACGAAAATGAAACATCACTGAACTTACTTAAGCTGGACTGTGACGCTATTTTCTTTTGGAAACAAACTTTGTTGCATTATTTTCCTGTCATCTCTGTAAAGCTGCTTTGAAACAATATGTATTGTAAAAAGCGTTATATAAATAAATGTGACTTGACTTATATCTCCTCTATATTTTATCTCCAATGACCTGTTATCAAGTAAATTTTTTAAATGAATTTAAAAATGTGAGGTTAACCTGATCAAGAAAATAACATTTGGTTGACCAGGTAAAACATTTCTCTTTTTTTTGTAATATCAAAATATATTTGAAATAGAGTGTAGTGTGTAAATACCTCTCAAGGGCATCATAAGTGTCTTCAGAGTGTTGGCTTTTATCAGTTTGCATGAGCTGACTGATGGTGGCCATTGCTGACACTGCAACTGTCTGAACAATAAAAAACATTTTATATTACATTTATACATTACGATTTTGCTGTAGTCAAACATTGTCAGACAAACATAGCAACATATTTTAAAGAGCCCCTATTATGCTTTTTCAAATATAACCTTTCATGCAGTGTGTAATATAAAAGCTGTTTGTGCTTGTAATAGGTCTGCAAAATTTTAAAGATCAAAGTGCATAATGAATAAAGTTTTCATCACCTAAAAGAAAGAATCGATTCTGAACTGCTGAAATCATCAGTAACTCCAGTCTCACTTCCTGTAGACCAATCACAACAGACTAGACTGTCTGACCAATCAGAGCAGAGTAGACCAATCACAATAGACTGGGCCATCTGACCAACTAGAGCAGAGTAGACCAATCACAACAGACTGGGCCATCTGACCAATCAGAGCAGAGTAGACCAATCACAACAGACTGGGCCATCTGACCAATCAGAGCAGAGTAGACCAATCACAACAGACTGGGCCATCTGACCAACCAGAGCAGAGTAGACCAATCTCAACAGACTGGGCCATCTGCCCAATCAGAGCAGAGTAGACCAATCACAACAGACTGAGCCATCTGACCAATCAGAGCAGAGTAGACCAATCACAACAGACTGGGCCATCTGAGCAATCAGAGCAGAGTAGACCAATCACAACAGACTGAGCCATCTGACCAATCAGAGCAGAGTAGACCAATCTCAACAGACTGGGCCATCTGACCAATCAGAGCAGAGTAGACCAATCACAACAGACTGAGCCATCTGACCAATCAGAGCAGAGTAGACTAATCTTAACAGACTGGGCCATCTGACCAATCAGAGCAGAGTAGACCAATCACAACAGAATGGGCCATCTGACCAATCAGAGCAGAGTAAAGGAGACCAATCACAACAGACTGGGCCATCTGACCAATCAGAGCAGAGTAGACCAATCACAACAGACTGGGCCATCTGACCAATCAGAGCAGAGTAGACCAATCACAACAGACTGGGCCATCTGACCAATCAGAGCAGAGTAGACCAATCACAACAGACTGGGCCATCTGACCAATCAGAGCAGAGTAGACCAATCACAACAGACTGGGCCATCTGACCAATCTCAACAGACTGAGCCATCTGACCAATCAGAGCAGAGTAGACCAATCACAACAGACTGGGCCATCTGACCAATCTCAACAGACTGAGCCATCTGACCAATCAGAGCAGAGTAGACCAATCACAACAGACTGGGCCATCTGACCAATCAGAGCAGAGTAGACCAATCACAACAGACTGAGCCATCTGACCAATCAGAGCAGAGTAGACCAATCTCAACAGACCGGGCCATCTGACCAATCAGAGCAGAGTAGACCAATCACAACAGACTGAGCCATCTGACCAATCAGAGCAGAGTAGACTAATCTTAACAGACTGGGCCATCTGACCAATCAGAGCAGAGTAGACCAATCACAACAGAATGGGCCATCTGACCAATCAGAGCAGAGTAAAGGAGACCAATCACAACAGACTGGGCCATCTGACCAATCAGAGCAGAGTAGACCAATCACAACAGACTGGGCCATCTGACCAATCAGAGCAGAGTAGACCAATCACAACAGACTGGGCCATCTGACCAATCAGAGCAGAGTAGACCAATCACAACAGACTGGGCCATCTGACCAATCAGAGCAGAGTAGACCAATCACAACAGACTGAGCCATCTGACCAATCAGAGCAGAGTAGACCAATCACAACAGACTGGGCCATCTGACCAATCAGAGCAGAGTAGACCAATCACAACAGACTGGGCCATCTGACCAATCTCAACAGACTGAGCCATCTGACCAATCAGAGCAGAGTAGACCAATCACAACAGACTGGGCCATCTGACCAATCAGAGCAGAGTAGACCAATCACAACAGACTGGGCCATCTGACCAATCAGAGCAGAGTAGACCAATCACAACAGACTGAGCCATCTGACCATTCAGAGCAGAGTAGACCAATCACAACAGACTGGGCCATCTGACCAATCAGAGCAGAGTAGACCAATCTCAACAGACTGAGCCATCTGACGAATCAGAGCAGAGTAGACCAATCACAACAGACTGGGCCATCTGACCAATCTCAACAGACTGAGCCATCTGACCAATCAGAGCAGAGTAGACCAATCACAACAGACTGAGCCATCTGACCAATCAGAGCAGAGTAGACCAATCTCAACAGACTAGGGCATCTGACAGAGCAGAGTAGACCAATCATAACAGACTGGGCCATCTGACCAATCAGAGCAGAGTAGACCAATCATAACAGACTGGGCCATCTGACAGAGCAGAGTAGACCAATCACAACAGACTGCGCCATATGACCAATCAGAGCAGAGTAGACCAATCTCAACAGACTAGGCCATCTGACAGAGCAGAGTAGACCAATCATAAAAGACTGGGCCATCTGACCAATCAGAGCAGAGTAGACCAATCTCAACAGACTAGGCCATCTGACAGAGCAGAGTAGACCAATCACAACAGACTGAGCCATTTGACCAATCAGAGCAGAGTAGACCAATCTCAACAGACTAGGCCATCTGACAGAGCAGAGTAGACCAATCTCAACAGACTGGGCCATCTGACCAATCAGAGCAGAGTAGACCAATCACAACAGACTGGGCCATCTGACCAATCTCAACAGACTGAGCCATCTGAGCAATCAGAGCAGAGTAGACCAATCACAACAGACTGAGCCATCTGACCAATCAGAGCAGAGTAGACCAATCTCAACAGACTGGGCCATCTGACCAATCAGAGCAGAGTAGACCAATCTCAACAGACTGAGCCATCTGACCAATCAGAGCAGAGTAGACCAATCACAACAGACTGGGCCATCTGACCAATCTCAACAGACTGAGCCATCTGACCAATCAGAGCAGAGTAGACCAATCACAACAGACTGAGCCATCTGACCAATCAGAGCAGAGTAGACCAATCTCAACAGACTAGGGCATCTGACAGAGCAGAGTAGACCAATCATAACAGACTGGGCCATCTGACCAATCAGAGCAGAGTAGACCAATCATAACAGACTGGGCCATCTGACAGAGCAGAGTAGACCAATCACAACAGACTGGGCCATCTGACCAATCAGAGCAGAGTAGACCAATCTCAACAGACTAGGCCATCTGACAGAGCAGAGTAGACCAATCATAACAGACTGGGCCATCTGACCAATCAGAGCAGAGTAGACCAATCTCAACAGACTAGGCCATCTGACAGAGCAGAGTAGACCAATCACAACAGACTGAGCCATCTGACCAATCAGAGCAGAGTAGACCAATCTCAACAGACTAGGCCATAGGTCGGCAACCCGCGGCTCTAGAGCCGCATGCGGCTCTTAAGCGCCGCCCTAGTGGCTCCCTGGAGCTTTTTCAAAAATTTGAAAATGGAAAAAATATTTTTTTTGTTTTAATATAATTTCTGTAGGAGGAAAAACATGACAAATATTCTTAAAGTTTTTCAACGTTTTAAAAATGTGTATGATAAATATTTAATTTCAACATTTCTGTCACTGAAGAATTTACGTCATAGACTGTGACACACGTGTCTGTCAGATCGGCGTGATGCCAGACCGGTGGCTGACAAACAAACAAACAAACCGGCGGGTGTGTCATGGGCCATGGATCCCAAGGGGAAAAAGAGAAAGATAGCTGAGCACTCCCAACGCAATAGAGTGCGGCGCGGGACTAGATTTGATGGCCGAGTGCGAGCGCGGGCGCGTGCGGTAATGCACTCACTCTACTAAAACAAAATAGAAACGATTTACAGGCCAGAATTTCTATTCATAACATGTTTGCAGCGTTGAGCGATATAGCCAATCACAGACATATGTGTTGATTTCTTGAACGCAATGGCCAATCAGAAGCATGTAAGATAGACTCCCCTCATCGCTCGAAACTGACGTTTTTGTTCAGTGCTGAATTCTGTATGCTGGTAAATCCTTTAATTATAACGAACAAAGTGTGGATATTATGAAAGATTCATTGTGCAGTCAGCTTCATTGATAATAACAGAGATGTGTGAGATCGCGATGAACTGTCATCTTTTTAGGGATTATTAAGAGAGCGCACTTTGCGCGCATTCAGTCATGGCAAACCATGCACGCAGTAAACTGCTTGCTTTCATGTTAAATTAACAGTGGTTTGTGTTTTAATGCTTTAATAACAAATAATTTATCAGGAGGATGTATGGTGGCGACACGTAGGCTAACTTGAAAGTATTTGGAGGTACAGAAAAAAAGTGTATTTGCGGGCGGGAGCGGGACAAAACAAATGTTGCGGGCGGGAGAAAGAAAGTTGAGAACGTCAGTTATAACGACCCACGCATTAAAAAATGGTCGGGTTAAAATCAGGCTCGGGGTCATAATTACGTTTAATGTGTCGGGCCGGGCTTGATTTTTTGGGCCCGTTCTAAGCTCTAATTTGTAGCCTACTTATCATTTTGATACTAATAAAGCTAATATAACACTTACAGCATGTGTTGCCTTCATTATAAGGCTTATATAACGCTTTCAATTTTTTGCGGCTCCAGACAGATATTTTTTATTTTTTTTGGGTCCAATATGGCTCTTTCAACATTTTGGGTTGCCGACCCCTGGACTAGGCCATCTGACAGAGCAGAGTAGACCAATCATAACAGACTGGGCCATCTGACCAATCAGAGCAGAGTAGACCAATCACAACAGACTGGGCCATCTGACCAATCAGAGCAAAGTAGACCAATCACAACAGACTGGGCCATCTGACCAATCAGAGCAGAGTAGACCAATCACAACAGACTGAGCCATCTGACCAATCAGGGCAGAGTAGACCAATCTCAACAGACTGGGCCATCTGACCAATCAGAGCAGAGTAGACCAATCACAACAGACTGGGCCATCTGACCAATCAGAGCAGAGTAGACCAATCACAACAGACTGGGCCATCTGACCAATCAGAGCAGAGTAGACTAATCTCAACAGACTG